GACCACATCTTTTCCTTCCCTTCGCCTCTCTATTAATGTGCTTGGACACTGAGCTCTGTGAACAGCCAGCCTCTTTAGCGATGACCTTTTGTGTCTTGCCCTCCTTGTGCAAGGTGTTGATGGTCGTCTTTTGGACAACTGTCAAGTCAGCAGTCTTCCCCATGATTGTGTAGCCTATAGAACTAGACTGAAAGACCATTTAAAGGCTTTTGCAGGTGGTTTGAGTTAATTAGCTGATTAGAGTGTGGCACCAGGGGCCATCAATTTTTAACCTTTTCACAATATTCTAATTTTCTGATATGATGAATTTGAGATTTTCATTTGTTGTCATTTGTAATCATCAAAATTAAACAAAATAAACATCTGAAATATATGAGTTTGTATGTAATGTATGAATATAATATACAAGTTTCACTTTTTAAATGGAATTACTGAAATCAATCTACTTTTTCATGATATTCTAATTTTATGACCAGCACCTGTACTCACCCAAACTCTCCAGCGGCAGCCATTGTTGTTGTCACCCAAGCGCGCTTTGGTCACGTGGTTGATAACGTTACTCTTGATCATCTGTCCATCATCGTATAAAGCCCGCCCTGACAATTTGATTGGATCGCCTGACAGTGGGCTTTAATACTCGCGCTACTATGGAGCAGAGCCAGACCGAACTTCCCCGAACTCAAACCTTGTGGGCGGGACTAAGTTCGGACTGGCACCCAGGCTAGGTGAATTTATTACATGTGCAGAATTAACTGTTTGACCATGATTAGAGCTCGAATCACTCTTTCATCTATTTTTCTAACACACAGTTAGTAGGACTGTTTGTCATAAACAATATATAACAGCTGAAATAATATCTGATTAAATAAGATATTTTAACACCTCTACAGGGGAGGGCAATAGACATCTTAAAGTATCAGAAATATAAATTCCCAGCTGGCTGGGAATTGAATAGAACATAAAATCACTACACCGCTCTTCAACCATATTTGATCACCACCACTTTTTAAACCCAATTAAGTTTTAACTGCAGTCAAAGTCATTTTTTTCTAAGTTTTTCCAGTAAACAATAGGTTTGGTGAAATGAATATTGCTATGGAATATAGCAAAAATAATAATAAAAAAAAGAATGATAAAGCAGTTGAAGATATTCTATTAAAAATAGACAAGCATTTTATATATGATGTTAATTCTGATAATGTAGCTTCTTTTTTTTTTTTTACAGTAATTTGTTCTATTGTGAGCACTGGAGTTGGTTGGAATGCAAAAGACATGGGGATTTTTTCAAGCACTGTTTTCTTACCTCCTCCATCTTTCAAGCATTCTAAGACCACAGCAGTGGCTTGCATAGGTCACATGGGCAGTCTGCAAATGAAGAAAGGCACTCAAAGGAGGAAGAGCTTTGAGTTCCCACGTTTTGCTAATTTGAAGCCTTTCAATGCTGGTCATGCCTAATGAAGGCAAAGAATGTACTTTGGTTTCTGAAAGGTCTCTGGAGGGACAGAAAAAAACAAAACACACATTAACTCACAAGGCTTTCATTTAGTTACAATAAATTTCAAAGATCTTATGAAAGAATTCTTTATGTGTTATTCAAATTATTTTGTCATTATATATCTGTATTTTAGCTTTTGTCTCCTTACCATGTTTCAGATGATTAAATGTGGTAATATCAGATCAAGTCTTTTTTTTCAGCATTTTTATCGTCATTAAACTGTCACAAGTACAGCGCAACAAAATTCATTCTCTGCATTTGACCCTTCCCCTTGGGGAGCAGTGGGCTGCCAGTGTGCGGAGTCCAGGGAGCAGTGTGGGGTTCGAGACCCCAATTAGCAGTCTGTGGGAGTGAGTTTCAAACTCACAACTTCAGGATTCCAAGCCCTATGCCCTAACCACTAGGCTGCCACTCCCCCATCTAATCTAATGTAATCAACTCTAATCAGATTGATTGATTACATTTCTGGTCAAAGCAGGAAAGCTAGTTTAGCCTTCAGTTTTGACAGGTGACAGGTTGCGTTTTATTAAATTATTGAGACCACAGACATTCCAGCTTCTGATTCTTGTGACAGCACCCTTTCTATCTTTGATGTTTTATGTTGCCATTTATCAAAAGATCAGAAGGAAAAAGTGAATATAGGGGATTAGAAGGGGTGAAGGAATGTACCGATATATGGACAAACTTAAAACTACAAATGACAATACCTTTAAACAAATAACTGAAAAGTAAACCAATCAACAAGATTGTTGGCACTCATGTTATAATAATTTTTTCATCAAACTTCCAAACTATTCTCTACTAACTAACTTGCCTCATCATTCAAAACTATAATCAGAGCCATTAATAAGTCGATCAAGTCATCAACAAAAGTTAATGCTATAACATTGTTTATTCAGGTAAACATAAGTTCTAAGTCCAAAGAAAAATGACACTGACTGCTTGTAAAGAAGTCATGTATAAGTTTAAAGAGATGGAAGGAAACAAAGACCTGATCATTGCAACCTTCAGTTTAGAAACAGTATTAAGTCTAAAAACACTAATCAAATCAAACAGGACTTGAGTAGGAAAAGACTATGAGGAAAACTAGAAAATGGATAAAGACAGCCTTTTTGTTTACAAAGAGCTTTGCATACAAGATGTAGCTGAGGGAAACAGTAGTCATACTAGTTCAAGCCACTGGGAGTCAATTTTCTTGCTGCATGTTTCATTTATAAACAGTATATAGTAGAGTGGTGGATGGGATCTCACCAGACGTACATTGGTGGACTATGGGGCCCAGCTTTTCCAGCATAAAAGCTTTAAACTTGATAGAATCTGTGAAGCTACCTTGACCCATCTTTCAATTATCATAGGATCTGCAGGGTACCAAAGCCCAAGATGGATGCCTTAGCGTTAGTTCGAAAAGTTGCATGCAGTCTGTGAAGGCTGAGTGCTGCCTGGAGACAGCCTGGGTGAAATCTGCAAATCATGGACCGTATCTTCTTCTCTTGTTTTTAGTTGCCGCATTGTCATTGCTTCCTCAGAATCTTTTCAATATCTGGAAAGTAGTAGCATCTTATAATAAAAGCCCGCATTGGCTGATGTCAATAAAAGAAACAGTTAAGTAGATGAGCTCTGAGCCTGTTTTCACACCAAATGGAAGGAGAGAGGGCACATAGAATTAGTCAGAGTAAAAGCCAAACCCAGAGCTAAGAAACTTGCCAAAACAATGAAACACAGGGCCAACTGTATTATCAGAGGACAAAACAGTTGAAACTCCTATGACAAAAAGAAAAAACTGAGAGAACATAAAGTCAGGGGTTAAACTAACAAATACACACTTTGATAATAAAAGTAAAATGAAGCAGAATGATCACTGAGTACCTATGTCCTCCAGCAGTCTAAGCCTATAGCAGCATAAATTTAGAGGTAACTCAGGATAACCTGAACCACTCTAACTATAATATTAATCAAAAAGGAAAGTTTTAAGCCTCGCCTTAAAAGTAGACAGGCTGTCTTCCTAAATGATTAAAACTGGTAGTTGGTTACACAGGAGAGGAGCCAGATAATAAAAAAGACTGCCTCCTATTCTACCTTTAGAAGTTTAAGGAACCACTTGAAAGCCTAAAGATCGAGGGTAATGTGCTCTTTTAAGAACATGAGGAACAATCAGATCAAATATAAGATGGAACCTGTTTATTTAGAAGTTAATACGTAAGGAGGATTTGAAGTTCTATATTGGGTTTAACAACCGGTCAATAAAGGGAAGCTCAAATCTGGATTTAGCATTTTGAATCTTCTTAAGACTCATAACTACAGTTTGTGGACTTCCTGATAGTAAAGAATTATATCAGTCTTCCTTTGAAATATCTTAGACATATCTTCTAGTTTCTCATCATCATCTCTGGAGTAGATATTTCTAATTTTTGTAATATTCCTAGGTGAAAAAAAAAAAATTCCGGAATCCCCTTTAATACTGGACTGAAGCCCAGTATTAGATAACATCAAGACCACTTTAATGCCATCCAGATTGGGTGACTTTCTAATCACCTTCTTTTTAAAAGACTGGTCTAAAAGCAATAGAAATCCATATGGCACTCCACATGTAACCCTGAAACACTGAAATCTGTAAGACCAATATAAACCAACCTACAGTATGTCATGGTTCCCCCTTTTTGGGACTTTTGTCTGAGTTTTTAGTTTTTTTTTTAGTTTTCGTTATCTAAGTAATTCTGTTTTCTTGATCTTTGGTTTATTTTCTGTTTTGTGTTGTATTTAAGCCAATCTTTAGTTACTCTCTGTTGCCCCCTTGTGACTGTCTCCTTTCTCCTAGCTCCCTTCTAGTCACTTCCATCCACACCTGCTCCATATCTTCTGATTACTTCAGTCTGTGTTCCTTCTCCCATATATACTCTCCCTGTTCAGTTCTTCAGTGCTGGTTCCTTGTTGATTGTTAGTTGCTTCCTCATCTCTGTCTCTCCATGTGAGTTTTCCCTGATGTTTGCTGGTTTTTTGTCTCAGTATTTTTGTGTTTTGGATGTTTGCCTCAGTTTACATTAAATCTACAAGAACGCATCAATTTTTCACTCATATCTGCTTTTCAGTCCTCAAGCAACCTCATCCCCCTTGTTGACAATCTACTGCTGTTCACTTAATCCCTATTGTTGTGACTTACAACCAAAAATGACGAAGCGAGACGGTCAGTTTCATTTGGTTTAACTTTAGTGAAGAACGGTGAAGGAAAAAAGTAACATACAACGTGCGCCAGTCAGCTCGGCTCAACAACACTCTTTTTTTTCCCTTTTTTGCTCCTAGAGCATCCTGGGTAATAGAGTCCAATTCAATACAACTACAAATAAATGCAGTCCCAAATTTAACCACGGTTTAAAACATGAACTGTGTTATCAACATTAACGTTAACTTATATTTTTAACTCATTAACTTATCATTCAAAGGTTATGAAATAATAAGTCCTCAACAAATAAATTCACAACATCCTCCCCCCCGATAAACTACAGTTTATCTAAATTTCCAAAGAATACAGTAACTGAACTGGTCTCCGCAGAAGGGCGCCTGAACATGTTCGAACAGCACATGACCTGACAAGACCATCACGTCCTGGGAAGAGTTCTTGAATTCGCCCCATTTTCCAGCTCTGTCTTGGTAGATTATCCTCTCCGATTAGCACAACGTCTCCCACCTTCAGCAGAGAGGGCTGCTGGGAGTCGCAGCGATGGGCTGACTTCAAGTCCAGTAAATATTCTCTTCGCCATCTGTTCCAGAAGTTGGTCATAAGTCTCTGCCTGTAGCGCCACCTCCGTGTCATCTCCTCCTTATTTGCTGTTGGATGGATTGTTTCAGCTGGAAATGGCTTTGGGGGTAAACAAGTCAGTCTCTGACCCACCAAGAAGTGAGAAGGTGTCAGCGGCTGTGGTTCATCCACGTCATTGTGCACGTAAGTGAGTGGCCTCGAGTTTATTATGGCTTCAGCTTCAGCTAGAATGGTGCACACTTCTTCAAAGCCAAGTTTAGCTCTGCCAAGCACCTTCCTAAGAATTACTTTGACTGACCTTACAAGCCTTTCCCAGAATCCCCCCCACCAGGCTGCTCTTTCAGCGATGAACCGCCAGGTGATGCCCTTCTCTGAGAAAAATTCTTGTAGCTGTGGATCTTTGATGCCTTTCCAGAGTTCCTTCAGATCCTGATCAGCTCTCTTGAATGTTTTGGCATTATCTGAATAGATCACCTTGCATAATCCTCTTCTTGAGACAAACCTTTTCAGTGCCAGCAGAAAGTTCTCTGTTGATAAGTCTGAGACCAGTTCTAAATGCACAGCTCTGGTTACAGCGCAAGTGAACAGCGCTATGTACGCCTTGGTCATGGAGTTCTGTGTCTTCACATAGAGTGGCCCTGCGAAGTCCACACCTGTGATCTCAAATGGTGGTGACTCAGTTATTCTGTCCTTGGGCAGCGGTGCTGTTGTCTGTTGCCCAGCCTTTGCTTTGAACCTTTTGCAAAATACACATCTTGACACCACCTTCTTAACTACTTGCCGTGCTCTCAAAATCCAAAACTGTTCTCTCGTTTGCACTAAAGTGTCTCGCACCCCTGCATGCATTACCTTCTCATGTTGATAATGTACCAGCATTTCGGTATATCTGTGATCGCTGGGCAAAATCCATGGGTGTTTTTCTCTGTAAGAGAAGTCGGAATGCTGGAGCCTTCCTCCTACACTGAGCAGCTCATCTTGGTCCAGAAAGGGTTTCAGCTGTCGGATTCTGGAGTCTGCCTGTGTGCATTTTCCTGTTTTGAGCGATTGAATTTCGGAGCTGAAACTCTGGTTCTGAATAACCTTTATCCAATATTTTCCTGCTTCATGCAGCTCTTCTGCTGTCAGTTCACCACTCATTTTTGTAGTTGAGCGGGCGTTAGCGATAAACCTTTTCATCCAAGCCGTCACTCGGAGCACGGTTTTCAGTCTACTGTACTTCTCTAGACACAAAGGAGGTTTTAAGAAGTTTGTGTCTTGATTAACAAGCTGTACAACAAGCTGATATTTGGATCTCAGCTCAGACTTTACCTCATCTTCCTGAATGTCTTCCTGACTGCTCTCTAACTGATCAGGTGATATCAAAGCACAAGGACCATTCCACCACAGTGTGCTCTGCTTCAAGTCCTGTACTGTTAGACCTCTAGTGGGAAGGTCAGCTGGATTTGTTTTTCCCTTACAGTGAGACCATGACTGTGGATCTGTTAGAGTCTGAATTTCTGTCACTCGATTTGCTACAAACTGTTTCCACTTGTGAGCAGAACTGCGAATCCAGTGTAGCACTATCATTGAGTCTGTCCATAGTCTCACCTGGGCCTTGTCAAGCCGCAGTGTTTCCTTGAGGGTGCTCCCCAGCCTGGCTGCTATTACAGCTCCCATCAGCTCCAGCCGTGGCAACGTCATTCTTTTCAGTGGAGCCACTCTGGACTTGGATGCAACGAGGCTTGTGGTCACTTTTCCGTCACTCGTTTCTCCCTGAAGATAAGCAACTGCACTGTAAGCCCTTTCACTTGCATCACAAAACACATGCAGCTTTAGATCCTGACCATTTGGCTGTTGTGTGTGTGTTCTATACCAACGTGGGATTGACAGCTGGTGCAGTTGGGGGAGCTCCGAACACCACTGTTGCCACTTCTTAGTCAAATCGGGCGGCAGCTCCTCATCCCATCTGAGTCCCCTCTCCCACATCTCTTGGAATAAACATTTTATCCTGATTGTGAAAGGGGTCAAGAATCCAAGAGGGTCAAAAATGCGAGCGGAAGACTGCAGAACACTTCTTTTAGTGTTTTCTCTCACCTTCAGATTGTCAAGCAGCCCTCTGAGGTCGAACACAAAATCATCAGTGGCAGGTCTCCACACCAGGCCTAGAACCTTCAGGACCGACCCGTGTGTTTCTGGCTGTGCAGTGCAATCCAACGAGATCTCCTGCCATTTTTCTCTAAGCTCAGGAGAGTTCGTCATCCATTTACACAGCTCCATGCCTGCCGCAGACATAATATTTTTGACTGTTGTTGTCACTGCCTGAGCTTCTGCCACCTCCTTTGCACTTGAGATAAAGTCATCCACATAAAGTGAGGAACGGACAATGTCTATCACTTCTGGGTGTTTACCCTCATATTGTCTCAGGTGCTTCCTAATGGTGGCAGCCAGTAAAAATGGGCTGGATGAAGCTCCAAACACCACTCTTGTCATCCTGAGGACACGCAGATTATCCTCCGTTGGTGGGCCTGTGAACCACAGAAATCTTACAGAGTCCCTGTCTACTTCTGAGAGTGAAATCTGTAAAAATGCCTTCTTAATGTCTGCCATGTATGCAATTTCATGCAGTCTAAACTTGATCAAAACACTCATCAGATCTGGATTCAAATTGGGACCTGTTAAGAGACAGTCATTTAGTGAGGGACTGCCATCTTCGTGGGATGAAGCATCAAAGACAACTCGCAATTTCGTTCTCACCTTATCCTCCCTCAGTACAGCATGGTGGGGTAAGTAGTAAATCCGACTGCTTGGTGGTGGTGTACACTCCTTAGGGACATCTTCAGCCATTCCTTGTGTTAAGTAGTCCTCCACCACATCATTGTATCTGCTGTAGAGCGTAACATCCCTTTGTAGTTTCCTTTTCAAACTCTCAAGACGCCTTTTTGCAATGCGGTAATTGTCTTGAAGTGGAGGATGAGTCTGTCGTCACTGGCGTGTTCAGGGAGTGGCCTTGGGTGGCACAGGCCACCCCTGAAATCTGATTGGCCACCCCAAGTGCCACCCCAAAATTTTAAAATATGATTGGCTATATGCCCAGTCAGAGGCGGGCCACTGCACTGAACGTAAAATGCGCTCTTGTTTTGATTTGAAGTTGAAGAAGACGCGAAGAAGACGTTGATGAACCTACAGGTGAATACTCCAGTCTATCAGAAAGCAGCACGTCTCTGGCGCGACGTTGGGAAATATGTGAGTAGCCTACATTTTACTACACTTACTGTGCCTGTAGTTAGAAGCTGTAACGGTAATAAGCTAAACATGCTAAACTGTCTTGTTTTATTTGTTTTATTGTAATTGGCACACGGCTGTCGTCTCCTCATCTCGTTAGAAAACACTGTTTTGACTGTCAACGATGCTAACGCTAACATTTAGCTATTCTGTACTGAGTAAAACTGTTATATTAGACCCCTATAACATCATTTACATTTCATTTTCATTCTTGTGTGTACACAATTATTTATTGTACAACATACTGTATAAGAATGTCGTGCATTATGGGACTATTACAGTATGAAAAGAAGTCAGAATATTAAAGATTTCTTCGCAAGGAAGAAATCTAAGATAGAGCCAGAGCAGGGGCAGAGCAGTCAGGCACAGGATGAGAGCCAGCCTTCAGCCTCAGCTGTACACATTGGTATGTGAAATCCTGATAGTTCAAGTTTGTTCTCATGTTTGAACTTACTAATTTGGTTTGATTGTACCATACCTCTTAGTTTACTTAGGAAAGGCTGATTGTATTATCATTCTAATCACAGCTTATGTATTATTATAGAGTCACCCTCAACATCACATACACATCAGGGTACGTATGAATTTACCTTCTTTAAATAATTATGTGCATTGATTCGAACTGAGATATTTCAAATATACTACAGTGTCATATACTGCCATTAAGTGTGTAGACAATTTTTAAACAATACTGGTGTGAAAAGCCTAAATGTGGCAAGTTGAAATATATTTAAATTAATAAAATCTCTGTATTGCTACAGGTGTGTCCAGTGCTGAGGCTCTTGCAGGCCATCCACAGGGGGATAGTGGTGTGGGAGCCTCTTATAGCCAGCCGGGACCTATTGGTATGTCTTAACAATTCATTTTTCATATGAAGTATAATATACTTAGGCACATTTTCATTCTAATGACAACCTATGTGTTATTGCAGAATCAGGTGAAGATTCTTCTGATGAGGGCCCTTCACCATCACACATGCAGCATAGTATGTATGCTTTACCTTTTTTCAAATTAAAGGTACACTATGCAACCGGTGTTGATTTTCCAGCGAGGCTCCCCCCAGAGGGCGAAAGTAAAAGTGCACTGTTGTAAATATGCTCAGCTGTTCTCCTGGTTTCTCCGTCAAGCCAGGCGCGGTTGTTTTGAGCTTAGCAGACAGGCGAACGCAACGAATGACTAAGCATCTGACGCACGTGACGCGCAGCAAACGTGCTGCTGCTCGAGATGGAAGAATTGAATTTTTGCTGCTCGACGCGCCACGTCAACCAATCAGAGAAGCTGATTTGGGAGCTGGCAGGGAGAGAGACACAGCGCTGATGATCAGAGTGCTATGATCACTCCTCTTAAACGCCTAAATTAACTTAAAATGCAGAAATCTGCCGGCAGAATATGTTCGCTTTTATTATCCTGCTGCCTGCAGTTTGGATTATTTAGATGAAAAACACCTACCAGCTGCCGCGGTGAACAGCGAGGAGGCGACCCGGCCAGAGGCTGCTGATGAAGGGATTCCTACTGTCGGCGCACTGCTGGTATGTGGGGGTCTGAGCGACTCCGACAGAAAAAATATTGAAGGCAGGATAATAATCTGAATGAACTGACGGCACTGATTACGTTTTCAGGTGTATTTTCTCACTTAAAAACATATTAAAACTACTTTATTCCCACTGATCACAGCAAATATAGTTGCAAGGCAGAGAAAGGATAGTGAAGCTCCGCCCAACGCGCCTCAGACACACTTTTGCACCGCGCAGCCAGAGCAGCAAAGCTGCTACAGCCGCGCGTCAGAACTAACTGGTACAAGCAGCAAAAATGAAGCAGCAGACGCGATTTTGCTGCTTTTGCTGTGTCCGGTGTGAAAGCAGCGCTGCACAAAGATCGCCACTGTGCTAGCAACGAGCATGCTTTTAACTGGGAGGTGTAGCAGTTCTCGCCGTAAAGCAAGACCGACTCTCGCGAGACTTCTGAGCCTGTGGGTGCGGGTCGGTGCTCCTGCAATTGCAAGTGCGGTATTTCCCCCACAGACCACCAGGGCGGCCGAGAATACCTTTGTTCAACCTGAAATGACTCATTTAATCATCCAAAACGTTATGGAACACATTAACTGAAAAATGTTGCATGGTGTGCCTTTAACATCACAGTATCTGCTTTTATTTAGATCAGGATAACAATAATACTGGTGTTTAAAATCTAAATGTGGCAAGTTGAAATATATTTAAATTAATAAAATCTCTGTATTGCTACAGGTGTGTCCAGTGCTGAGGCTCTTGCAGGCCATCCACAGGGGGATAGTGGTGTGGGAGCCTCTTATAGCCAGCCGGGACCTATTGGTATGTCTTAACAATTAATTTTTCATATGAAGTATAATATACTTTGGCACATTTTCATTCTAATGACAACCTATGTGTTATTGCAGAATCAGGTGAAGATTCTTCTGATGAGGGCCCTTCACCATCACACATGCAGCAAAGTATGTATGCTTTACCTTTTTTTAAATTAACATCACAGTATCTGCTTTTATTTAGATCAGGATACCAATAATACTGGTGATTAAAATCTAAATGTGGCAAGATGAAATATATTTAAATTAATAAAATCTCTGTATTGATACAGGTGTGTCCAGGGCTGATGTTCTTACAGGCCATCCACAGGGGGATAGTGGTGTGCGAGCCTCTTATAGCCGGCCCGGACCTATTGGTATGTCTTAACAATTCATTTAAGTTAGTGACTTATGTGACACTAAAAGGTCCTGATTCCCATACATTTGTCACTTACAGATATTTCACAGTCAAGAGCAACAGGACCCACTCAACCCCAGTTAAAGTTGTATCCAAAAACCATGCAAGGGGAGAAGAGGAGGGCGTTCAATCCATCCTGGTACAACAGGTTTTCATGGCTTGAGTACTCAATAATAAAAGACTCAACGTACTGCTATGCATGCAGGCAGTTCTCTTTGCCTAGCACGTCAGAATCTGTGTTCACCTCAGAATCCGGCTTTTCACATTGGAAAAAAGCAATGTATAAAGATGCTGGCTTTAAGTTGCATGAAAAATCAGATTCTCACATTACTTCCATGTTAGCTTGGAGTGAACACAAGAGGGCTGCACTTACAGATGCTTCTGTATTAAACATGATCAACAAAGAGTACAAAAAGAAGGTCGAAGAGAATCGCAGTTACATTAAAACTGTTGCAGATGTATTGCTTTTGACAGCCACACAAAATATGGCACAAAGAGGGCACTGTGAGTCTGAGCAGTCTGACAACAAAGGGAATTTCTTAGAAATTCTTGAAATGATTGCTAAACACAATCCTGTGGTAGCCAAAAAAATGAAAGCAAAAGGCAATGCCAAATACATAAGCAATACCATACAAAATGAAATTCTACAGTGCTTAGCCAGTATGGTGCAGGATTCCATTGTGAAAGAAGTGAAAGAGAGTGAGGTATTCTCCATCATCGCTGATGAAACCAAAGATCTCCAAAAAAAGGAACAGCTGTCATTAGTACTTCGATATTACTATAATGGGGCTGTGCATGAAAGCTTCCTTGAATTCCAGCACGCACAAAATCTAGATGCTAAGGGGCTTAGTGACATGATCATCAAGTGCTTAGAAAGCTATGGCCTTCAGTACAAATCAAACCTTGTTGGACAAGGTTATGATGGCGCCTCAGTAATGAGTGGTAAACATTCGGGTGTGGCAGCCAGAATCAAGACAGAGGCTAAAACTGCGTTTTATGTCCACTGTAATGCACACTGTCTAAACCTGGTCTTGGTTGACACTGTGAAGTCAGTTCCAGAGGCCGATTGTTTCTTTTCGCTACTTGAGAAGATCTATGTATACATGTCAGGCTCTTATGTGCACCAGAAATGGCTTACAGTCCAGAAAGAGATGTATGGTGGCACACCTAGAGAGTTACAAAGATTAAGTGACACAAGATGAGCATGTAGAGCACTAGCTTGCAGGAATTTGATGGATAGATTACCAGCTGTGTTGTGTGTTCTTCAAAATATAAGTGCAGAAAATCACAGAGACAGGTCCATTGATGCTAGAGGTCTGCTTGCACAGATTGACCTCACATTCATAGGCCTCCTTGCAACCTTCCGAAAAGTTTTCGGTGACACAAAGCTGCTTTCTGACCTGTTGCAGTCACCCTCAGTTGATTTAGCTATGGCAGCAGACATGGTGGAGTCACTTCTTGATACTTTTCATGAGTATAGGACTGAGGCATTTAGTGATAAACTGTGGAATGACATAGTAGAGACAGCCAAACACTGCAACATAGCTGTTGAGAATGTTGAGAATAAAAGAGCACACAAAGTCAGCACCAAACTTTGTGGGTCGTATGTGACATGCACTATAGGCCTGCACAACAGTAATGCAGACAAAGATGCATTCAGGCAGAAACTACTCTACCCCATCCTTGACACCTTAGTTGCTGAAATAGAAAGAAGGTTCTCAAAAATGAACTGTTCAGTAATGAGAGGTATACAGGCCTTAAATCCTAAAAGCAGTACATTCCTTAAAGATGATCAGGTCTTTGACTTTGGAAAAATATATGAGTGTA